GTCGGGACCCCTTTTTCTGAAGAAGGGTCCCGACCCGAAACGTCAACCTTCCTGCTCCCCCGATGCTGCCTGGCCTGCTGCGTTTCTCCAGTTCCACACTGTTGTTAGTTAGGTCTGATGGAGAGTCATCCAGACTCGAAACGTTGGCTGGCTCTCTCTCCCCATGGATGCTGTCTGACCCGCTGTGACCTCCAGCATTTGCTGTTTCCAGTACAGATCCCGGCATCGACAAGGAGCGACTGGAGGCTTACGCAGCGCGGTAACACCAGTCTGAAGCGAATGGGCCAAATGGCCTGTTTCTTCACAGTGACGATGTTGTCTCACTGCCCCAGGAAAGCAGGGAGATGGCTGTTAAGTGCTTTGGGATATCCCGAGGTGTTGAAAGGGCTGCATAAATGCAAGCTCATAGTTTCTGCTGGTTGCTTGCCAGCTTTCCTATTGGCTGACCTTTTCTGCATTATTAAGGCACTTACGTCAATTCTTCACAGACGGTTTTGTTATTTTTTACTCCTCTTCTCGAAATTCCACTGCTTTCGAATCTCTCCGCCAGTCCACTTCCCGCTCGCCTGGATGAGCCTGTGCCAAAATCTCAGCCGCCTTGCAACTCAATGTGCTTCATCTCAGCTCCCTCAGGGCGATGAGCCAGGAGGCTGTACGGCCCACACACAAGCCTGACCCCTCAGCGCTTCATCAGCAGGGACATGGAATCCAGTAGCTAGCAAGTGGCACCAAGAAAGAGATTGAGAGAGACAGACAGACAGACAGACAGAAAGGGAGAGGGTGTATTGGCTCGATTGGTACCACATCCACAAACATCCCACTCCCTCCACCACCACCGACGCTCAGTCACAGCAGTGTGTACCATCTGCAAGACGCCCTGCAGAAGTTCACCAATGATCCTCAGGCAGCACCTTCCAAACCCACGGCCAATTCCATCCAGAAGGATCAGGGCAGCAGATACATGGGAACACCTCTCCCCTGCAAGTTCACCTCCGAGCCACTCCCCATCCTGACGTGGGAATATATCGCCGTTCCTTCAGTGTGGCTGGGTCAGAATCCTGGGCATTGCAGGTCAACCCACAGCACAAGGGCTGCAGCGGTTCAAGAAGGCAGATCACCGCCAGGCTCTCCAGGGAAAGACTCAAGTCAGTAACATCTACACTTGTCATGTTGCTGGCTCAGTCCTGCTGGGATCTGGGCACCGCAATGGTGGTGGTGGGGGCTGGTGGGGATGGGGTGGCGGGGTGGGGGGGCGGTGGTGGGGGGTGCGGGTGTCTTCCCCTCCCTAGGGGGTGGGGGACGAGCGAGGGGCTGGTCAGCCTCATTGGGGACCCTCGTGGGTGGATGGGGCCTTGCATAGGGCATGGTCCTGAGGCCAACAGGCTGATCCCGACACCACGTCTCCCAGTCATGCATGCGGTTTGGGGGGGCATGGTTCCAATTAGCGCAGGTCGGAGGTCAGACCTGCAAGGTCAATAGCTTTGACTCGCGCCCCCCCACCCCCAACTCCTAGGAGCTTGAAAGGGGGCAGTTGGTGCCGGTTTCCGGATGTTTCCGAGACCGTGCAGTCCGGTGCCGCAGGTCGTGAGGCGCGTTTCCGACGGTGGAAGCGGCTTCTGGAATGTTCTGTGGAACGTTTGTGGAATACTCTGCTGCCGCAGGACACAAACCAAACACACAGGGCTCTGGCCGGGCTCTCTCTCTCTCTCTCTCTCTCTCTCTCCCCCTTGCACAAGCCTTGCGCCAACTACCTGCATTCACCTGGCACCTATCACCCCTTACAACGTACCTGACCCACATCCCCTCCCCCAATCCACCTTCAGGACAAAGAGGAAACATATTGGGGGACAGGACCCACTTAAGGTGATGCTGTGGACATGGTAAGATGAGGCGGTCTGTGGTTGAAGAGCAGGTTTGTAAACCATGCCTTCAAAGAGAGAGATGAGGACAGGATAGGGAGAGAATTCTAGTGCTTGGGAGTGCTGAAATCCCAGAGGTTTGTAGAGGTGACTGAGATGGGGCTGTGTATTGTGGGGGCTGGAGGAGATGCGCTCTAGTTTTGGACTCCCTATCGATGCCCCTCATAACTTTGTAAGCCTCCATAAGGTCACCCCTCAGCCTCCAATACTCCAAGGAAAATAGCCCCAGCCTATTCAGCCTCTCCCTATAGCTCAAACCCTCCAACTCTGGCAACATCCTCGTAAATCTTTTCCGAACCCTTTGAAGTTTCACAACATTCTTCCTACAGCAGGGAGACCAGAATTGAATGCAGTATTCCAAAAGGGGCCTAACCAATGCCCTGCACAGCTGCAACATGAACCCCCCCAACTCCTGTACCCAATGCATGACCAATAAAGGCACAACACTCCTCGGTTTATGATACAGTCTAGGACCCCCCAGCGCTAACCAGACCTCCTCCCTGGGACCAGTGGGACCTTTCCTGGCAGTGTAAAGAAATAACAGCTCGGGCGGGGTGGGGGAGGGGGGGAGGTTTGGGGAACGTCTGTGTCCCACCATGGACCTCTAAGGGAATAGGCCGCCCTGGATCCAAGAGAAATCCCTCGGCTGGCTTCAGACGGACGGTTTGCATTTCCCAAAGCTTTGGCGTCTGTCTTGGGAGAAATCATTCAGTCGAGGGGAAGGGGGTGGGGCGGTTCCAAAGACGCCGGTAAACAGAACGGGAGCCTGGGCCGGGGGCACGGAGCCAACGTTACCAGCTTCCCAGCTCCTGTTTAATCCCACACAGATGGGCCCAATCGGTAACCCTGCAAGGTTCATCTGGAGTTTACACGTTCAGGCTCACGTACAAATTAGCAACAGGCCCCTCAAACGCTGGAGCTCCAACGAACAATATCATGGTGACCAGACTTGAGAATGAGGAGGAATTTTTTTTCTCCCCAGAGGGTGGTGAATCTTTTGAAATTCCTT